ACAGGAGGCTCTCCATCCCCACTGTGCATCTCAGTAACAAGTAATGACTTGTATGGCCAGAAATGTTCTACCCGGGGGTGCGTTCAATTACATTTGAAGTAGAACCGTGATCTGATCCTAAGTCTGCTTCTGAAATCTAAATTGCTAATCACTACCATTTCTATGTGACTCGTTCGCCTGTTCTTTCAGACATTTTTTTTTTTACAAGAAACATGATACATGGGACTGGGGAGACGCCTCCGTGGGTAAAAGGGGTAAAAGGTTGACACAACAAAGTGTACCAGTAGTTGTGGTACTGGAGAGGTGCAGCTAGGAGGGTTCCGAGGTTCAACGGCCAGACAGTCCAAATCCATCCGCTCCAGGTTACAAAACTAAGATGGTGAGCTAGTGAGATGCCTCGGTAGGTAAAGGTGCCTACCTCCGAGTCTAGCAACTGAAGTTCAATCTCTGGGAGCCACACAGTAAGAGAGAACCAACTGCTATATGCCGTTCACACACATGTGCATATACATATACACACTCGTGTACATGCGAGTATACACACACACACACACACACACACATGCCCTAACAAAATATGATTTAAAATTTTAAAAAACACTAAGGTGAAGAGCAATTAAGGAAGCCATCCCACATCAAACCTGGCCGCCATACACGCCCGCACTTGTACACACACATGGTTGTACACAACGTATAAACATATATAAAAGGAAACCAAATATTTTTTTTAAAGAGTGATACATGTTAGTTGTAGACATTTGGGGGAAATAAATAAATAAATAAACAAACAAGTAAACCAGGAAAATCATCTAGTCACACACTGACACATACACGCTGGGCGTTTTCCCTGTCAAAGCTTCTACACCTGTAAGGAAGCAGGCAGGAGCGACAACCATAGCCTGGGGGCAGACACGTCTTTTGTAAATGATGGACTAAGAAGGAAGGTTTATTGTCTGATTACTGGATTTCTTCCTTCTATGTCAGCACTAACTACCAGACTTACCTGGGCAATTCCTATGATTCCCTATTGCTGGCCTATCGCCTCCTCGCTAGTCTATCCTTTCCTCTGTGACCAGCACTCTATGCCCAGCTCAGCTTTCAGTCACTGAACGAACATTCTCCGCAGGAGACCGGATTACAGTTGGCCAGGGGACTGGAAGAAAAGGTTATGGGAGCTTCTATGACAACTTTGCTCTTAAGAGTGATGCACAGACAATTAAAAGAGCCTTAACGCCTGTGCTAACATCTATTTGAAATCCAGATCCTACCCCAACTTTATCTCTTGGGGGAAATAAACATAACATAACACCATAGAGAACTGCAGCTAATTTCCATATAGGTCTTTGAAAATGTCTAGAACCAGACTTCCAAATAAAGACTGTTATTTCCAATATTGGATCGATTTCTAGATGAGACCATGATTGAGTCTGAATAACTGGTCACATTTAATAACACTATAAGAGGCATTATAACTTCTCTTTTTGATTCTCTGTTCCACAAGGTCTAAGAACTTGAGGCAAGGCAGCTTGTCCCATCAGGGGTATAGAGGTAAGCAATGGTGGGTTGGGAACTTATGTCCAATACAGCCTCCCAGTCACCATTGTCAGGGCACTCAGCAAGCTCACAGGTCAGCATCATTGTTTGTCCGGACATCAGCATGTCTCACCCATCGCTCTGGCAGCCACTATGCTCCTTCGGCATCTTGCAGAAAAAACACAAGTATATCCTCTTCCCCATATTTAATACCTGATCGGGATCATGCCTTATGCCAGTAAGTGGATCCTTCCCTTTCACCTATGTGTAAGTATGCCTACAACATTGTAGAGCGCCATAGACACTCAGCAGGAAGTTCCTTGGCATTCAAATTTAAAAAAAAATTTAAAATAAAAACTAAAAAGAACATGATTTAAATAAATTTTGGTGTACAGGGGTATCTCCCCATTTTTTATTTTATGAAGATATTGTTTTAAAGTTCCATTGGCCCATTCCACAGTCTTATCCTTGACAATTATAAGGGATCCCCATAATATGGGTAATTTTAAATTGCTGCTAAAAGTCTGAAATGTTCGACTGCCATAGCCAGTTCCATTATCTGTTTGTTTTTTTTTTTTTTTTTTTAGGCTAGAACAAAGAAGTAATTTCAGACAGGAATCTAAATTTCAGGCTAGAACAAGGAAGTAGGCTTCAGACATGAAAATGACCTTGGGCTAGGACAGGGAAATGGGCTCAGATACTTTGGTCATCCTGATAAGCCCTTAGAAACAGTGATCACAGGAGTGTTCACGGAATTGGGTTTAATGTCTTGCTTGTTCTTTGACTATTTGTGTTTATTGTCTTGCTTTTTCCTTGACTATTTGCATCTATTGTATTGCTAGACCCTCAACCTAGAACTGACCTTAATACATACATGTAATCAAAATGGTATAAAAGCATAAAGGAGGAGGGGGGATGGGATGGGGGTTCTAGGGAGGGGAAATGGGGAAAGGGGATGACATCTGTATTGTAAATAAATAAAATATCCAATATTTTTTTTTTAAAAGAGAGATGTACCCTCTCTCCTCTCTCTGGAGAAAGAAGCTAGTTGGAAGACTAAGCCAAGTCTCTAACTGTTCCAGATGTAGAATCTATTCAACTGGATCTGGCAAGAGACTAAAGCCGTGGATGCCCTCACCAAAGGCTGTTGAAGGGCTGTGGATATAGCTGAGTAGTAAAGCTATTGACTAACATGTGGAAAATGTGTGTTCAAGAAAACCCTTGTGACTATTTTTGAAACTTGGATCATGAGATAATCCAGGCCTGTCCAGTTCCCAACCACTACATAAAAGGAATTTTCAGAATCATGCATATAACAAGACCCTACTCTGTACCCTATACAGAGGGCACAGTAGGCTCTAGAGGAACACACATCAAAACATTGGTAATGTCTACTGTTAGGAGTCTCTATACTAAAGCTGCAGCTTCTTATTCAAGGTGTATTTTGGTTTAGGATTTTTGACAAAAGCAAGGATGCATGTTTTGCTTTGTCACTGTCTAAACACTAATGTTTTAAAGCACACATGATTTGTATTGTATTTGGAAGGTAAACTAAAGGCTTATAGCCATCTTCTGATAAGGGAAGGGACCTTTTGGTGTGTGTGTGTGTGTGTGTGTGTGTGTGTGTGTGTGTGTGTGTGTATGAGCTCAACCACAGCCAAGTAGCTTCATGAGGAAGCTTAGTGGTGAGCCCCACTGTTATTCTGCATATCATCTCTTTGCGTCTTGTATTCCTCTAACTACCTTTGACCTAGCCCCAGGAGCTACCTCAACACCACACCCCCACCCCAAATAACCCCATGGAGCTCTTCTTCAGCCCCATATTGCTTTGTTAAGTTCCCATCGTGAACAAGGGACATTTGCTAACCCTGCCCCGCAGCAGCGAGACTAAGCGGAGTTATATAGCTTACCAAGAAGATCCAGTTCTTGGAGAGTCCAGAGATGGTGCGCTAACAAACTCCCCATCTGTCCTTGGGAGAGATGGGCAGAGATGAGCCTGAGTTTTGCATGTAGCATCAGTCTGACCAGCAATCTTAGTCATAGAGATTATGGCTATCCTCAGAACTTCACAATAACCAGCACATTATTTTTTTTTACCGAGATTTCACTATGCAACGAAACCTACTTTGTTCACTTAAGATTAATCTTGTATTCAAAACCAGTTTCACTCGAAGCCTAGGAGTACAGGGATGTCACTAGCGACCTCGCAGTGACTGATGTCTCCACCCTCAGTTTGAAACCGGATCGGGACTGGAGGGATTGCAGCTGGACTGCGGGAGTGAGGAAGTGTGCGGCTGGGAAGGTCCGCAGTTCTCGCCCGAGTTTTCCGTCCCCCTCCCCGCGCCCCAGGCAGGCCGACACTTTGAAGATAGTTAGACCGGAAATCTACACCGCCCGAAACCTGACAGGGTCCAGCCTCAGCCCTAGGAACTTCCCAGGCAGCGGGAACCCAAGCCAGAGACAGGAATGGAGAAGCAGCTGGTGCGGTCTCGTGTGTCCCAACCGCGAGGACGTCCTCGCTTAGCGCCCTCTATCGCCGGCTCTGAGAGTGAACCTCATCTGTATGCGAACTGGCTGTGCAAGAGCTAATGTTTCTGAGCACAGATGAGGAAGGGAGGTAACATCAACTTACAGGATTGCACACCTCTTTGCAATTTTAGATTCCTCAAGAGGAGAAATTACACAGGGTTTCTAGGACCACAGATATGTGATTACTGAAGTGAGAATATACTATGGGTACCCAAAAGAGTGACCTTTGAGTATGGCATGGGTCATCTGTACGCTTGCCTATGGCTAGTTCAGCTCATGTTGCTATCGATCCATGAGTAAGGACCTATAAGCATAGGAGACGCCCTCAAAACACAATGAATTGTATTAGTTGTTCACCTCTGCAGGGGGATACAGACGACATAGATATAAGGCTGGGAAGGGGGAGACACACAAACAGGAGGTAATAGCTTCTGAAACTCAGATGCTAAAAAAAAAAAAAAAAAAAAAACCCATGGGGAAAGGTGGCCCAGATACACTAAGCTCTTTATTCTTTGGGCCTCATAGTATCACCTACTTGTTTGATTGTGGCATGAACCAAGAACTCGGTTTGAGGCAAGTCCTTCCTTTCTCCCCAGTCTGTGGAATCGGGAGAGGTTGGCAATTGCCACCTCTATTCACCTTAGGCATGATGTAAACAGAAATTAGCATCTCTGCCTCCTTCCTTTTTCCACACCCCGAAGTCATTTCCTCTTAACCTGGGATTTCGATGTCTATATTCCCACTGTATGATAGATGTACTCTGAAAGGCAGAAGGGGGGAGGAACTTCTTAAAATTCCCCCAGAATGTTTTGACACTAGTTTTCAGTGTTGCAATTGAGACTAGTCAGTTTCTAGTTTGGGTTTCCATCAGAAAGTTCTGTAGGAGTAGAGTATATAAGCTCCAGGAGCAGCCCCAGCAGCAGAAGGAACAGTGAGTGTCCAGGCACAACAGACCAGGCAGCCCGCAGCAAAGCAAGGTAAGTTCTCTCCTGTTCCCTGTCACTAATTTCCAGTGTCTAGAGGCTGTCCAGATTTAGACTCTGGAGCACAGGCAACCCCTGAACCAGGCAGCATAGAAGTGGGAATAAGTGGGTTCCGGAAGTATTCCAGATGGCTTACCTGCTGTTGGAAACCAGGTGCTTTGGGGACAGGGACTTCAAATATTCATTTAAAAAGTCAGCTAATTACAGATGTGATGGTGCACACCTGTAATCTCCAACTTTGTGAGGTGGGAAACAGAATGAGCAGGAGTTTAAGGCCAGCTTCTGCTACGTGATGAGTTTGAGACCCTGTCTCAAAAAAAAAAAAAATGAGCAGGATGAGATCTTGTTTTTACCCAGGGACCACTGAGCCTCAGCTGATGGCTCAGTTTGCTCAAGCAAGGCATTCAAGATGAGGTTAGGTTGCCCCCAACAATTCATTTTGCTGAGATCTGAAATACTATGATTATTGTGCCAACAATCCATGAACTCTCTCTAGGCTAGGGTCTGGATATAAGACAAGACAGACATGACCTCTGCCACACCCCTCAGGATGGAGGTATAGATATTAAAGATGTAATCAAACCATTGCTATTTCAGTAATGCCGAAGGAGAAGAGTAGGTATTGGGGGTCCTGTTTTCACTTGGGGATCAAGCTGACACTTTCTATGGATCATTTCATGAGCTTCTATCCTGGCAGGGTTCCTATTTTTAGTCTAGGAGTACAGGTTTGAAGAAGTCAACCCAACCTGTCAAGGTCACATAGCGAGTGATGGCCTGAGCTCTGGTTGGCTGTAGAACCAGGGCCCTTTGCCCTTTCTCTCCTTGCCACCCCTGACAGCCACACCACCTGCACTGTGTATTGCTGTTTCTGAGCTTCTTCATTTTTACATACCATTTCTCTTTTAAATGAAAAGATAATAATAATAACAGAATGACACTTGCAAAAGGGAAGTCCACTCAGGCACTTGCTGGCAGCAATGCTGGAAGCATTTACATGCTCTAGGGAGCTAGAGTGTGTACCCCAGGGTTTCTGTGTTCTTTGCACAAGACTCTTGGGAGTTAAGAGAACTAATGAAATCAAATGAAAACAAAGGAAGAAAAAACCAAATTGTTCAAATGTATCACGGAAGAATTGTAGTGTGAGAGGGATACAGCACCCAGCATCTGCCAATCAGCCAGAAAGCCAAAGCCTGGCTACATACCACACGCTTTTTGCTTGTGCAGATTTGATTAAGAGGAGACCCACCACCATCTCTACCCTCTGCTGGTCTTCTATGATCTAAGATGTAGATGAAAATTGTTCCTTGGACCGTTGCCAGGGTTCCCTTCAACCTGAAATATGGTTCATGTGTGATGCTCAGATGCATCTGAGGCTGACAGAGGAAATGCTTGGCAGGTAGCCCAAGGGAAAATCCCTATATTGAGAGCATACAGAGATCACCAGGAGATGCCAGGAATCTCTGCCTTTTTCCCTTCCCAGAGTCCTACTACCATCTGGATTTTACAGCCATGTATAATTGCATCACCTTTTCTGGCATTTTTCTCTACAGCCTAGCAGATTTTTATTTTTCAACCCACTGTATACAAAACAGAAAGAATTTCAATTTTTTCCCCTTAGCTCTTCTACTAGTGCAAGCTATTACAGCACATCATCTCACTGCGTGCCCAACAGCTCTTTAAGACCATATAAGCCTTTATTGTGTCTTTTTATATAAAGACAGTAGGACTCAGAGAAACAAGACCAATACCACACAGCTACTGAGTAGTAGGGCCAGAATCCAAGCCCATGTCTGCTTGACTCCAAGCCTATGAATGTAGGAGCCAGCATCCTTTCAGCTAGCTCTTGGCTTGGCTATATGATAATTTAGACCTAGACAAGGCCTGACTCCTAGCCCTGTCTCTGTCATTGATGGTATCTGTAAGGGAAGAGAAATCATAGCAAGGTCCTCAGAGGTTAACAGTACTCCTGTTCTCTAAAAAGCCATGATCTCTAACCAAGGTCTGTTCATTTTTAAGGTATTTGCCTATAACATTAAAGTCTTCATTCACATGAGTTAGACCTGTGGTCTCTCAAACCTTGTTCCTGCCAGATGGTGGCATCCTCCAAGATAGATGGAAGTGTTTCTGAAGACAGTTAGTAGGCACTAATTATCTCATTTATCACATTTATGAGTGAGGTATAATCTTTACAGTCTAAAGGTTTCTGTTGCCTTGGTGTTGATCTAGCCTGGGTTACAATATAAGATGGTGGCTCATGTATCTACTTTATGGTGGGTCAATCAATATGTTATGGTCTTCTACTAAAGAACATCTTGAATTTTAGGAGTTCTGCGCCCTAAAACCTGACTAAAACATTTGCCTTTCACAATGTGTTCAATGGACCAGGGCATCAGCTCTGAGCACCTTCAAGGCGTGTTAAATCAGACACTCTGGGCTGAAACCCAACAGTCTTAGTAAACCCAAATTATACATACACCCAAGATTAAGAAAGGCATCCCAGTGCCTGCTGCACAGTGGGCAGTGATACAGATGCCCAAGGGCACTGTCCTAGTCAGTATTGGTGACATGGCGTTCTTTCCCATTCTGCTCAATACTCTTTAGATATTAACATTATTGTCAGAACTAAGTAAATGGCTGCCGAATGTGGACCCAGGAAGCCACATTCATCTCTAAACTTATGTTTCTGTGCCTTAAAAAAAAAAAGACAGTGAGCCGGGTGTGGTTGCTCTCGCCTTTAATCCCAGCACTCGGGAAGCAGAAGCAGCTGGATCTCTGAGAGTTTGAGGTCTGCCTTATCTACGTAGTGAGTTCCAGGACAGACAAGGCTAAGACTCTGTCTCAAAAAGAGGGAGGAGAGGGACAACTGTGGCTATCAGTAACACAGTCCAGCAAGTAACAAACATTACTTCTGCACAAGCCTGGTGACCTGAGTTTGAACCCTGAACCCACAGAGGAAGGTAACAGTCAACTCCCAAAACTTGTCCTCTGACCTCCACACATGCTAATACACACATGCACATATACAATAGTAATAAATCAATATTTTTTTAAAACAGATGACTGGGCCCTATGATTATTTCAGCTCCAGGTAGCTTCTAGTTCTTTATTTGGAGATGTTTTTACCCAAAGCTAGAACAGATCTCCTAAAATCCTAGTCTAACAGTGTGAAGAGAAAGGGGAAAAATCAGTATTTAGAAGGCAGGTAAAATATGGGCCAGGTTAATTGGATAACGGTTGACATTCTCTCCCCTGTTTTCCTGCCTTCTCCTTCTCCTCTGCTCCTTTTCTTCCTCCCGTCCCTCCTCCACACAGATGTGTCATCAGAAGCTAACCATCTCCTGGTTTGCCATGGTTTTGCTGGTATCTCCACTCATGGCCATGTGGGAGCTGGAGAAAGATGGTAAGCAGTCTGTTCCTTGTTTTCTTTGGCGCACCAGCATCTAAGCTGATCTCCAGTCAGCCTGCTGGGAAGGGATCGTGAAGCCTGGAGTAGGCCGCCACGCACGGGGTTTCCTCGGCAAAGTCCTCAGGGAACTCTTCCTCCACCTATCTTTGCCTTGTTTAGTTTTCATGTTGGATGACGGAAAAGGAGCTTCAGGTGGACTTTGGTGGCAAACGGGATGTGATCTTTGCCTTAAATATCAGAAAATGACTCTTTATTTTGAAAATGAAATGCCTGGTAGAGAATTTGAAAAGTAGCGAGATTGTCTTCTGCTCTCTCCTGACCTCCACATTATAACGTCCTCTCAGTGGGCACCGTGATGGCTGTCCTCTGGCTATTTTCACACTGACTTGGTTTCAGGTCATGGTTCTGCCAGGTACTGATTCTGAACCTTTGAGGTTGGGTAGCCTCGTAACCTGTTTTCTTAATTGGGTGTTTAATACTGCACAGCCCACATGGGCTGTTGGGTATGTTGATGAATACAGAAGATAACGTCCGGTAGAGTGAGCATCCATATTAGCAAGTACTATGTTTAAAACAAAGTCTCTGAGCTTTCCATTATCCCAGTGGCAATAAAATTACTTAGTAGACAAATAATGAAGACATAGCAAGAGTGCTCTCTGTCCTTGTGCCATCTCAGAGTTAGCAAATGTCCATCAAGTCAGTCCTCAGATGTTCCTGACAGAATCTCAAATGTTTCATGAAACACAAGGTAAATGTCAGGAATTTCTGCTTTTATAGCTACACTATAAGTAAGAATTCATGTTTATTGAGCACAGAACCTAACTTAATTTCATAACAACCATATAAAGTAAGAGCTATCTGTATTCCATTTTACAGATGGTGAGAACTGAGGCTCAAGAAGTTAAGTAACTTTCCCACAAGGGCCAGAATAGAACTTGATCCCAGTTTAATCTCACTTGAGAGCCTGTGTGCTTAAATGCTAGATTTTACAAGTTAGGCATGAAGCAACTGTTTCCTGTGGCCATAAGCAGGAAATAGGTGTAAATTAAAAATGGAAAGATTTCTCAGCTGCTGATTAGAAATAATCTTTTGAGAACCCAGGAAAAAAAAAACTGAGCCGGTATTTTTATTCTGAAGATTCACAAGGGTTAGAAAGCTATTTCAAAGGTAAAGGTGCTTGCCACCAAGTCTGATGACCTAGACTTAATCACTGGGATCAACATGACAGAAGGAGGGAACCAATTCCTCTTCATTACCCTCTACTCTCCAGACATGAGCTATGACACACACACACACACACACACACACACACACACACAAGAATTAAATGCATCTTTAAAAAGAGTTAGCTCAAGTTTGGTCACCCACCCCATTAGAATTTTGGATGCTGAGTAAAGCCTTTGCACAGCCAGATCTCCAATTTAGGGATTTTTTTTTTAAGACTGCTTAGACAGGAAGTGAGGCTCTGGCAGAGTTAACCCCTTTGTTACTCCTTACTTGGTAAACCACAGAAATTTCAGAAAATCAACATGAGAAACACAGAGAGAGCTTGTGTTGAAGTCAACAATGGTACCTGAAGCCCAGCAAATATCTAAGCTCTGATTCCAACATCTCCAAGAATTTCTTTCCCTGCCCTTGGGCCAAGGTCTTCTGGGGTTTCTGAGTTCAGGTTCTAAGAGGAAAATAACAGACAGCACTGCGATTTCCGTGGCCTAGAGGACAGAGAGAAATTGGAAGCCAGAGTCCTGTGGATTGGTGTCAGCCAGGCTAATGATTTCCAAAGAGTTTGGCCTCAAGTGATTTGTACCTCTTATCTTTGCTCCCCCATTCAGCAGTTAGAAATCCCGCTGATGTAAAAGTAAGAACTTAACATTTCACAAGGCTTTAAGCTCCAATGCCAATCACAGAGCCACCATTCACAGGGCACCTAAGGGAACTGTCTTAAGCTTGCATACAAATTAGCTTAGATGTTACCTTCTAAGGAAAGCACTATTATTTTACTTTCTTTCCTTTTCTTTTTAAGAATGACATCAGACTCAGGCATGGTAGTTCATGCCTGCAATCCCTGAACTTGATAGGTCAAGACAAGAAGACAGCCCTGATTTTGTGGCCAGCCTGGGCTATAAAGTAAAATTCTAAGTAGCTCCATGTCTCTTCCCACACCGGAGGCCATGGCTCTCTTAAGGCCCTCTGTTGGCTCTCCTCCATAGCTGTGGCATTCCCAACCCCAAGATCTTCACTGTGCCTTCCATATTCAGGCATCAGATCACTGGGGCCATCCCGACATTTCTGACTCAGCAGCCCAGAGCAAACATTACTGATGGGTTTTCAGTGATGCTGATAATGGAGGTTGGGATGATGCTGATAATGGAGGTTGGGATGATGCTGATAATGGAGGTTGGGATGATGCTGATAATGGAGGTTGGGAGACCACCAGGCTTTACTGGCCACTGCACTAAGCTAAGGCCACTGCATTAAGCTCGTCTTTGGATTCATAATTGATATGTAGGTAACCTGTGAAGCTTTGTCACATGAAGCTTTGGTGTGACACTCTTCCGAACCCCTTAGGGAGATATTCTGGAGGCTCATTTAGAAACTGGCATCAGGTATCCATTGCATAACACAGGAACGGCAGCACTTGTTACACTTCACACTTGATGCCACCTTGGTTAGCCCTCTGGCATCAGCAAAAACAGTTACTTCAAAAACTTTAAGACTGTCACCTGCTGCTTCGTAAGAGTGTAAAGTGGCTTTTAAAAAACGAGTAGTTAATAGCAATCTCCATTGACAAATTTCACGCAGAAGGGACTTTAAAAACTTAAGTCTTCCTGGATAATTTTAAGAGATTTTGTTGGTTCATTTGCCTAGCTCTTTGGTCTGGGCAGGATGATGATGATGATGATGATGATGATGATGATGATGATGATGATGATGATAAAAAAGCTAGCACAGGTTTTTGCTAAGGTGCATACTTTTTACCATCTACTCTCACAGCTAAACCTATTAGCATAGACAATATTGTTCCTACTATTTTGTGAGGACTCCAAGGCGACTGATGGCTCAGTACCTCGCTCAAAATCCCCTTTGCAGGATTTCCTGATCTTTCTTTCTCCACGTCTTTGCTTTAAGCCACTGTGTTACTCTGCTAAATACTGCACCCTGTGTGTTCCCTGCAAACTACAACTGGAAGCTTAATCCCCCTCATCCCCATCTTCAAAACACACTCACACACACACACACACACACGCATGCACGCACGCACGCATGCACGCACGCACGCACATGTGACAAGGAGTCTTGTGCTGTTTGTATCTTTCTTGTTTCAAGATCTTTCCTTGCTAATCAGAGATTAATTATTTCAGACCACCTGCCAGTTAATGACTTGATGGCAGCTTCTCTGTTCTATTCCCATGCCCTGAGATCGTTTCAGCAAGCACTTGCCAAACCCTTGTAAGCTATGATGTTCCAAGGGCAGTAGGCGTGTCAAAACACTGAATGAAACTCAGTTCCAGGGTTCATGAGGCTCCTGGTCCAGGTCCTTACTGCTGGTGCTCTCCAGTTTATGTTGTAGAAGTGGACTGGCATCCCGATTCCCCTGGAGAAACAGTGACCCTCACCTGTGACACTCCTGAAGAAGATGGCATCACCTGGACCTCAGACCAGAGACGTGGAGTCATAGGCTCTGGAAAGACCCTGACCATCACTGTCAAAGAGTTTCTAGATGCTGGCCAATACACCTGCCACAAAGGAGGTGAAACTCTGAGCCACTCACATCTGCTGCTCCACAAGAACGAAAATGGAATTTGGTCCAGAGAAATTTTAAAAAGTAATTCCATGCCCTGGGATAGTATCCTTTCTTCTACCTCTCCTTAAAAATCAATAATTGCGAGTGAGTGTGTGTGTGTGTGTGTGTGTGTGTGTGTGTACAGGTGTGTACAAGTGTGTATGTGTGTGGAGGCTCAGAAATGTTTGTCATCTCCTTTGAGACAGGAACTCTCATTGGCCCGTAACTCACCAATAAGCTGTTCTGGCTGGCCAGTGACACCCAGAGTTCCTGTCTCAAAAAAATCTCACCCTTGTACCATGTAATGTCCATGTAATGCTCCATCCACAGTAAAAAAATTAAACAAAAACAAATTTCTTTATTAAAAGAAAACTCCTAAATATTTAATTTTTTTTCTTTTCAAATACAGACTTTAAAAATAAGACTTTCCTGAAATGTGAGGCACCGAATTACTCCGGACGGTTCACCTGCTCGTGGCTGGTGCAGAGAAACACCAACTTGAAGTTCAACATCAAGAGCAGCAGTAGGTAAGGGAGCTGTCAGGATTTCTCAGCGTTTTGTTAGATCTACTTCATAATGAAAATAAGGACAAACTGCCTGTGGATTATCAGTGACTGGTAATGGAACAGCAAAGTCAATTCTATGGGTTTTTTTTTTTTCAACTTCCCTCTGCTCACCTAAGGAAATAGCATGGAGCTTTAAGCCAGCCCTCTGGGAAGAGTCGTCTGGGGAGTTTGAATTCACTCATCTGAATTGCCTGGCTGCACTTCATTAAGGCCCCATGCACCATGGAGAGAAATTATAAAGAACCCACAGCTACAAATAACTTGCCAAAGCTCGACCTTGTGTCAAAAACAGAATCGAGTGTTCCAGGGCCTTGCTGTTAGAAGCCCTGGAACAGATTCCAGAACCCTCTGAGGCCTTTTGAGATTTTCCTAGAGCCCTCCAACTTCTTTCTGCCCCTCCAAGACCGTTATTCTGAAGTTCAGTGTCTCCAACGCACTTGGGCTTTCCCTAAAATAATCATTTCCCAGGGCTGCAGAACTGGTGTGTCAGAATGCTCTACAGCTGACGTCATTCAGCAGCTAGATCCCTGAGCCATGTGGAGGGCAGGGAATGAGCACCCTGGGTCTCCCACTATTTAAACAAATAAACAGGGGGCTTGTGTTTCCATCTTTAGCATGAATTTGCTATGACTTAAGCATAGGTAAGGAAAATAATGGTTCAGGGTGACATCAGAGTCCTTGTTGCTTATATGAGAATTTTTTGAGCTGGTAAAATTGGCCCCAAAGGAAACCTGTGTACATTACAGGATGCTTACATATAGTAACATGCCTGACTTCTCTGTGCTTAAAAAAAAAAAATTAGGCAAGCGCTGTACATTTTCTTGCTAGAGAAATCTTACACGTGTTCCTGAAGAAACTGGTACATGGATAAGGGATACTGGAATATTTTGCATAATTAGCAAAAGCATGCTCAAATGGATCATTAATGTGAATCTATTGAAATATCTAACCCAACTTTCACGTTCTGCTTAGAGGACTCCCCACAATACTTTCAGAGAGGAAAAAGATGTTACCGACTCATACATATGTAGTTTTCATTTGTTTTTAAAGTTGCTACTTATTTGGATGAGCTGCATATATACATATGTGTGTGTGTGTGTGTGTGTGTGTGTGTATACCCTAAATATTCATTGAAAAAACTCTAGAAGTAACAAACTGTGAACAATGTCTTTATGTGGTACTCAGATATAAGTTAAAAGGAGGATGGCGGAGACATGCGTGTTTTCTTTATAATCATCTTTGTTGCTCTAGCTATTTACAATTAAGCAGGTTCTCGTGCATTAAAACATCTTCAGATTGATTTAGGCCAGAGATGTAAGTTTCAGTGTCTTACAGCTAAGCTTCCACTCGGAAAGGACTGGGGTGTTTTTATGTTTTTGTTTTTGCTGTTTTACCCCATAGGAGAAATCTAAGCAGCCGGGCAGTCTGTCCTCAGACTGTAGTCATCAGGCACTAGATCTCTGACCTATAACACAGAACTCTTTCTGTCTTTGCTGTCAGTTCCCCTGACTCTCGGGCAGTGACATGTGGAACAGCATCTCTGTCTGCAGAGAAGGTCACACTGAACCAAAGGGACTATGAGAAGTACTCAGTGGTGTGCCAGGAGGATGTCACCTGCCCAACTGCCGAGGAGACCCTGCCCGTTGAACTGGTGTTGGATGCACGGCAGCAGAATAAATATGAGAACTACAGCACCAGCTTCTTCATCAGGGACATCAGTGAGTTTTGCATGGGAGTATGTGCTTGAGAAGTAAAGATGCTGTCTGCCACATGTTTGCGATACCCTGGGGTATAGGATTTGCCTGCATCCTTTTTTATTCTATGATATAGACACTAATGTCTGCATCTTACAGATGAGGAAATTAAAGGACTAAGTTACCTTTCTCCAGATCTCAAATCTCACAGATAGCAGCCCAGACCAGATCTGCCCCCAATGGTGGTACCTAATGAATTATGGGTTAACTTCACGCTCAGTGTAAAGTGGGGAACCAAGCACAGGGAGGGTCGGTCCCCTGACTGCAGAGCCCAGGTATGAGACTTTATTAAGCAGAACGACTCAACCAGCAGGGACTTCCAGTCTGTGCAGTGAAGAAAGGGTTCTAAAATGTAGGATGTGGCCAATAGTGGTGACTTCCTCCTGTGGAAGGAGCATTCTCAGCCTCACAGGCACTTCTCTGATGTTCAGAGAAGTGAAGAAGCTATCCTAGAGACAAGAAGGTGGATGTCTCAGTCATCCAAGTTCAGAAGCCTAAACCCTAGCTCCAAAGCCCAACCAGGATAATAAAGGATGCTTGTCTTCTTCTGCAGTCAAACCAGACCCGCCCAAGAACCTGCAGGTGAAGCCTTTGAAGAACTCTCAGGTGGAGGTCAGCTGGGAGTACCCTGACTCCTGGAGTACTCCCCATTCCTACTACTCCCTCAAGTTCTTTGTTCGAGTCCAGCGCAAGAAAGAAAAGATGAAGGAGACAGAGGAGGGGTGCAACCAGGTAGGACTTAAGCAGCCCATGTTGGGGTCAATGGGAAGATCCTAACAACCAGGTGCTTGCTACAGGAACAGAACTGTGTTAAGGGCTCTCCATGTGTGTCACGCACAACCTACACAAAGACCCGAAGGCAGCCAGTATTGCTGTCACCTCTTCACAGAGAAGGACAGTGAAGCTCAGAGAGTCTATGATTTGCCCAAGTTCACCCAGCTAGAGCAGCCACAAAACCAGGACCCAGTGTCGGTTTGATGGAAGCAAAGACAGTTAGCCCAACCATTTCAATTCCTCCAGTACAGTCGACCATCAGTCCTTAACCAAAATTGTTCATGATATAGCAACCTGGGATTCAGGAGTCTAAAAGGACTATAGTAACTGCTAGAACATTGGTGCTGGATGTCACCAAATATGGATAATCCTTACTTCTTTACTATAGTGTGCAATTATTTCACCTTACAAGATGCCCACCCTTACACAGCTAATAATGGTGGCTTTCTTTCTTTCTGGTCCTTAACACAGTGATCTCTTGCAAGGTTTGGGGGACAGTTTTACAGAGCATTTAAAGTCACAGATCCAAGGCTTTTCCCTACATAGCATTGAGAATGTGGTAGCAATTCAGCTCAGAGATTCAATCACTTCCTAAAAATAGGAGCAGAAAATGGGATTATTTTGAAACAGATTTTAACTGTTACCTAAAATCTTGCTAGGTTTCATCCCTGTGTGCATGTATTTAATATACCTGTCTTTACTAGATAACGTCTGGTGCTTCCTACTAGCTAGAAGCTTTCTAAGCATTTTTACATAATGTATTTAGCTGCTGCAATTGTTAGAGGCAGGCATTATCATGGGACCTATTCATAAATAAGGAGAGACACAGAGATGCAAAGACATTTTTCTGAAGCACCACAGCTGTTTAGCAGCATTGTCAGGATTTAAAGTCACTTACATAAGCTGACAGGCATAGTATTTCTTGATGTCCAGAGGACAGCTAAGGAAAACTGGTCTCAGTCTCAACATCAGCCTCCTTTGGGAGTGGTTGCCCATGGGACCTTGGGGCAAGGCTTCTATTCAGAGAGATAGAAGGGGGCACAGGCTGTTTTTGTTGGAGCTTACTAAATAGAAAAATAAGAATAGGGAGACGGATGACTCACGCTGAAGTATGACGTCCTGAGTTCTAACTCCCAGAAACTATGTAAAACAATAGTGATGCCTGCAACCTCAGCTCTGGGAAGAGGTGAGACGCGCAAGCGCGCACACACACACACACACACACACACACACACCTCTATTTACAGCTTCCGCCAGCAGGTGGTGCAAGGGGAACGTCCATGCCAGCCTGCCTTATCCTGCCTAAAGCCCTCAAACTTTCCTCTCCTTTGCAGAAAGGTGCGATCCTGGTAGAGAAGACCTCTACCGAAGTCCAATGCAAAGACATGAATATCTGCGTGCAAGCCCAGGATCGCTACTACAATTCCTCGTGCAGCAAGTGGGCATGTGTGCCCTGCAGGTGGGTGAGCAGGTCCACGAAGCCCAGTCACACCTGCACATTCAGTGATCCTGGTAGAGGACAACAGGAGGCTTGCGAGGGAGGCTGGGGGTGGAGTTCTTGGCACAGGGATTCCAGAGTCAGAAATACATTTGTTCGTTAGCAGACATTAGTTTGATGGCTAGGTTAGGTCAGGCACTGTCCAGGGCCAAGGATATTGCAGTAAAGAAAACAGGAATGGGACCCTTATACGGGGAAAGGCAAGAAGGACCCGATGGGACGGAAATCAGAAGTCAGAGTATGGAGGACTTGGAAGTGGACAGAAGTTGGAACCTTGTCCTAGGGGCTCTGAGGAAACACTGAAGTGTTTTTAATAAGGAAATATCTCAGTTAAAGCACTTTTAAGACAAATCTCTCAAGAGATCCTCTGTCTGGCAAACATGAGACCAGCTCAAGTCCGAGCCCTGAAAGGAAGAATTGGGCCAACTCACATGGAAATCTTCAAGATCCAATGTCTGGGGATAGTGTGTGGTGAGAAATAGGAGAGTAGGGCTGGAAAGACGGCTCAACCATTAAAGGCTAGGCTCACAACAAAAAATATAAGAAATAGGAGAGTATTGATGCTATACTTCTGACCAACATGGACTTACCCACATTTCTTTACAGGGTCTTATCCTAGGATACAACTTTGGAAGGAAAGAAAAATAGAAGACCTTAGGAAAGAAAAATTTAAACTCAGGATGGAAAAAAACTTCAAAAGCTATTTTCTGCTTGGTTAGCTTTCTCTAGTTTTTCTAAGCTCATCATGACATCTTTGCTATATTTCTATATGTAATTGTTTAAATGCTCACCGAGACAATGAGCTAATTTATGCATATATATTTTAGCATTCCACTTGGCCTTATGCTATTGAAATATTTAAGGAATTTATGTATTTATTAATTTATTTCTGTATTTAACATTTGTACACCAAGATGTATTGAATATTTCATGTGCTCGTGGCCTGATCCACAGGGACCAGGCCCTATTATACAAAATGTGAACTTGTTATCTTCTTCTACAGCTTTTCAACAAAGGCTGTGTAGGCACATTGGCTTTTGTGACAACCAATAAGAACATAATATTCTGACGCAAGCAGGATTATATATTTGTGACCAGTAAAGACAAAGGTGGTATTTAGAAACATGAAGAAGCTGTAAAGTAAACTCTGAAGAACTTAGGACTAGTTTTAACACCAAGGAAGACTTCTTAGAAATTATATCGATAAGAAATCAGGGCCTTCTTTGGAAAGGAACCCTTTGGGCACTTAAATTTAAAAGAATGTTTAAAGGCCAAGTATTGGTGGCATATGATTTTAATCCCAGCACTCAGGAGACTAAGGCAGGCAGATCTCTGTGAGTCTGAGGACAGCCTGGTGTACAGAGTGAGTCCTAGCACAGCCAGGGCCACACAGAAATTCTGTCTCAAAAACAATTTTAAAAAAACTAGAAATTGAAATCCAGGTTTGGGTATATAGCTCAGATGGCAGGGTGGTTGCCTGACATTTATGAAGAACTGGCTTTGGTCCTCAACACTGCATAAACTAAGCATGGTGGTGCATATCTTAATCCTAGCACTGGAGAGAGAGAGGCAGAAAACTCAGAAGTTCAATGTCATCCTTAGGTACATAACAAGGCCAGGTTGGGCTGCATGATAGCAAGATAAACTATCTCAAAAAGAAGCAAAGGAAACAGGGGTGGGGAGAGTCAACTGCTTGCCTCCTTGGCAGTGCCTTCCTCCAATACTCATAAGACACCGGAGCAGAGACATCCTGGGTGTCTGAAAGAACAGAGACTTTTGAAATTTGAGGGGAAAGATACTGTAGCTGTGACTAAAGAACATAAAATCCAGCGTGGCTTAATAGCCACACAAATAGATGCAAAGAAAACCATCCAGGACCACCATGTCATCAGCCTGAGTGAACCTAAGGTGCAGATGTGACCAGACAAGATCCATCACGCCATGAAGACACTACCACTACAAAAGGACACAGCAGCGGCCACGCTTCCTGTAGTGCCTTGAATTTACTTTTCATGCGTTGATTTGTTTGTTTGTGCTTTCCGAGACCAAATAAATAAAAGCCCTTCTTTGCAGTCATGGTTTCTGTAACTTGCTCAGCTGACTCAGGCATTCCATTTAGAAACCTATTCGGGTGCATCCCCTCCCCCCAACTCCATCACCTAAGAACCGTTTCTCCTTGCAGTGATTGCACTTCCAATTGTGCAGAGTTGACCCTTCCCTTTATAGTATTTCCAGCATCAGCATCTTGCTGAGCTCAGGAAAGGTCCCCGCAGGCTTCCCAGCAGGAACTCCACCAGGACACAAAACTGCACTGTATCCCTCTTTAGGGCTTTGCTGCTCCAGCAATCCTGGCATGATTCTCTGATTTCCCCTTGTCATAGTTTGCTCTCATTGCTGTGATAAAACATCACAACCGAAAGCAATTCAGGGAGGAAAGGGTTTATTGTAGTTTACAGCTTTGTAGTCCCATTGTAAAGGCAAGTCAGGGTAGGAACTCAAGACAGGAACTGAAGCAGAGGCCATAGTAGTCTGGGTCCTTTGCATCAACAATCCAAGAAAACATGAAGACCAAGAAAATGCCCTGCAGGCTTGCCTATAGCCCAATGCGGTTGGAGAAACTTTCTTATTTGAGGTTCCCTCTTCTCAGATGAGCAAGTTGACAAAAACTAAACAACACACCCTACACCATGAAATAAAACTCTAAACGAGATGGATGAGCCCCATGTCTATCTCCAGTATTTATGGGGATCAGTACTGTGTCTGGACGTGCATGAGCCCTTCATGTTTGGGGTTTCCAATGACTCCCATGTTGTTTCCCCCTCAAAGAGTGCTCATTCCTGGCATTGCTTATAAAATCAGGCTGAACACATGTAACTCCATTAAGTGCTAAGACACTCGCTGTATATGACGTCGCAAGATCTCAACAGATTGAACAGAAAAGAGCAGTCCGCTTTGTTCAAAACATGGGCAAGGCCTATTGTGTCCTTCTAACGGCTCCTAAGGAAAGAGTAAGTGCTGAACTGAGAGAGAATGGAGATCAGCCTCAACTCTCTGCTATTCTGAAAAAGCAGACCAGGCACATCTGAGCCTCCTCGCAATGGCAGGATGATTTTTGGTAGAGTTATTTGCTTAGAGTCCTGATTGTACTTTCTAGAATGGGAAAAGGAAGTTTCTGTCATCTGATGCAAGCCTTTGGAGCACCACATCCTGTTACGAAGCCACACATAAGAGCAAGGAATGGCTTCTAAGAACTGTCAATCTTCCTATGAAGTCTTTCATCTATCTAGTGATAGCAAAACGTTTAGCAGATATAAAATGGATAATCCTAGTAAGGAAAAGAATAATCACATTTTATAAGCAAAGAGACCTAGGAACGTTTTCCCAAATTTCCAGCAAGCTTAGGGCCAGCTTAGTTGTTCTGGCCCTCACCATACAGTTGCTTTTCTGCTATGACCTCTTAACATTTGATTGGCTTCAGTGCACGTGAGGTAGAGTTTCTCTATTTAAGGAACAGACTTTCTTAAAAGTCAAGTCACTGGATGAAGTAAAGGCACTAGGTGCCAGTCACCTAGTGCTGTTTCTGCCTGCTCAAAGCCCTAAGATCTGCTATGAGCATCCTGTTGCGCGTAAGGTATGGCAGGTGAAGATGCTTCCAGTAGTGGACACAGCAGGGTTCTTTGTGCTGGTGGGGCATCACCAACAGACCATGAAGCACTCTGAGGCTGAAGTTTATTCTTGAGGTAATGAAAATACAGAAGCCCGGGGCTGTGGTCCTAGTGGAACATAAAACACAGGAGGACAGCACTAAGTACTGGGAGCTGAAGGTCTGGAATTGGGTGGAGAGCCAATAGCTACTACAAGAAGATGGGTTGAAGCAGGAAGCAACAAACAAGAGAAATGGCAGGCCCACCTGACCAGGAAGAGGAGGCTTAAGCAAACCTGAAAAAGAAAGCACCGTGACTACAGGAGAAGGTTAAAAACCCTTCATTCCCAGAGAAAACATGGAAGCCTCAATAGAAGCATTGGAGTCCTGGAAGAACCACAGCTGGACCATCATCAGAGGGAAACAGGTGGTCAGATCTCAGTGTAGATGCTCTTAGGAACTCAGAATCTTATGCAGGAAATTAGATGAGGTCAACTATGCAATGGCTGTCACTTCTGGAATGGGACATCTCAGTGCGCCCCTCCCCATCCTGCAGCTCTTATATACTTCCTTTTTTTTTTTTTCCCAGAATCTCTGCTGAACCTCGAGGAGCTTGATACAGATGTCTCATTTAGAGCCAAGCATGCAACAGTCATTTATTCTCAGCACTTGGACCAGTTGTGAATTTCTGCCCACTGCAGAAGCGTCTCTGGCTGGGATTGGGAACAGCACCAATCCATGAGCAGCACCATAAATATTTAAAAGGCAGCATGACAGCATGTCCTTTCAGCAAAACAATAGTGGTAGGTAGTGCCATGACGTCACAAATCATTGCTTTTTGACCAACCACTTACTAGGCCTGGATTCCTCTTATGGATCTCAAACTCAATCACAAAGTGATGATGGTCAGTTGCTTCCACAATGTTCTGCCAGGGTTACAATGGTGGGAACAACTTACAAGGCAAAATAGTATTGCCGGATTCAGGGTTCTCCACTAGGAAATACCTCTGATGACTTTTCTCTCTCAGAGGCCTGCATGGTATCTTCCAGCACTGTGAGAACTTGCCCGCACAAGTTTTCAGGTCAGTTTCAGCTTCCTGTTTCTATGTCCTGCCATTAGAGTGGTCTGCTTTTATGAATAAAGTTTTATTGATATTTCTCCACTCCCAAAATCAAACCTCTAAAAAAAATCTATTGAAGATCTGAACAGAAAATCTCAAAATGGAAAAGAAGGCCAGGCCCTTAGCCAGATCTGTTACATGGCCACATGACCTTGAGCTTGGCGTCCATCACGACCTCGACATCTTGGTTGTCCAATAAATACTCACTCCAAATCCTTTCTCCGCTGATGCTTCTCTTCACTTCTGAAGATTAGAAAGCTAAGCAAACACTTTTCAAAGCACTCTTCATTATAGGCTTAGATTTTTCAAAATCTACTATATTTAGGGTTCTTAAATGCTTCAACCTCCCTTCTAGCCACCGACCACAGGTAGGGGAGAAAGAGGGTTAATAGGAAAAGGGGGTTATGGGCCTGTTTAGTAGTAGTTCTTTTGGGTGATTACATTCTTCATTGTCAAGATACCAGCAGTCCAGTTCAATAGCAAACACCAAACATGAATCAGCAGCATGGCCACAATCTAGCAGAAACAGCAAGGCTCCACTGAATCGGCACAAGTCAGCAGAAAGAGCCAGAATCAGCAAAGAGAAGTTCCTTGGTGCATTTCTCTCTATGTGCTCAGCAAAACCAAGGAGGCCAGTTCTGGCCAATGAGAAGTAAGACAATCCCACTAGAGAAATGCTGAGATACTATGGTTTTCCTGACAAAAGACAGAGCTATGGGCATTGTTGCTTAACGTCTCAGCTTTCTCATCCTTTAATGAGACTCTTGTAATACTTGCCTCATAGGGAAGTTGTCAGGATTAACAGGCTATGGGAGCAGAAAACTGGATATTTCCTGTACCCACCACAGGAGTCATGCCAACTTCCCCATAGCCAAGGCAAGTTAACATGAGAAAAACAGCACCAAGATTATTGAATTAAACCATTTCACAAATGAACACAGACCCAAAGCTCCAGAGCAAAACGTTCTGTGCTTTGGTTTAATAAAGAGCTGACAGCAGATAGACGTATGATCAGGTAAAAGACTCTGATCTAATGGTGAGAGATTGTGGACGGGACCCCAAGAAAGTGTGTTCATATTCTTCTTCGTCTCTGTGTAGGAGTCCTTGCTCCAAGAAATGGAGCAGGACATTTCTGGAATGAGAGTTTTCAAAAAGTGTGAGTTCATTTTCCAGGCTTTGTAGCTCGCTTGGGTATGAGAGGCTCTAGCTTCTATAATCTATCACAGAGAACACAATTTTATTTTATGTGAGTTGCTATGACAATAGAGGGAAAGAGCTGGGAGACAAAGAGCAGAGAGAGCAATGGAACTAAGTGGAAGGCTCCGACAAAGTCACAGCATGCAACAGGTCTCACCTGGGAGGTTTATTAAGAGGGAGGGGCAAGGGGGCAGCGGCTGTTTCTTGGAGGAGGAAGGAAGAAGGACGGGGGAAGGAAAAACCACCACCGCTTTTTAGTTAGTCCTTGGCACATGCTCAGAAGGACATGTGACAGGGCTCACAATGGGAATGTGTCACCCCTGAGCCGCTGGTGATGACATATCTTATTGTCGTGCTGAGTCCCTTGGGACTCAGGAAGGTACCTGATTGCTAACATTGTTTCAGGGTCCCTTTGGGCTTCCTGCGGAGGTGCCTGATTACTAACCTTCTTCCCTTTTTCTTACCACAAAGAGAACTAAAAGGTGGACAATAATAAGATGAGAATGGGGTATCGGAGCTCTTAAGCTGCTTCCCGATGTCCAAGGGACTCATCAGTTTGTGTAGTTGGTCCTCACCATCGGGACACATTTGATAGTTGCTGGCATCAGACTCTGCTGTGGCCAGCGGCTGGTAATCCTGTAAGAGGAACTGATTCATCCTTTGGTTGATTTTTTTTTGATTCATTGTTGGAAGAATATGGAGAAGAGGTTGATGAAGCAGGGTGCAAACAGTAAATGCAGAAAAATGAGAAAAGGAGGGACCAGGAAAGACAACATCCATTTCCATAGGGGAGTTTTCAAAGGCCCTGGGGCTTCCTTATGTTTTTGGAGGTCGGCTTGGAGTTGTTGGATTTTGTTTTTTACTATGCCCGACTGATTGATGGTAGAAGCAGTATTTTTCTTGGAGAAAAAGGCAAAGGCCACACGTTTCAGCTGTAAAAATATCCAGTTCCCATGTCGAGAGTAAGTATGCTTTGGACCACCTGTTGAAGATCTTAGATGAACTGGAAAGAGGACTGATGATGGTACATGATGGTACAAGGTTAGAGAGATGGCCAGTCCTAATGGTCTGGTGGCAACACCCGTGCTTCTTCCTGCAACAGCCGGGATAGA